GTTGACCCATTACCACCAATCCATTATTAAAGAAGGAAGGAAGAAATGGAGGGAGAGAGAGGGAAGAAAAAAAGACGGAGGAAAGAAGGAAGAAATAAGGAAGGAAATAAACATTAAATTACTTCTCATAATGTATAATTTTCAATCATGTGACTGCAATTTTTATAACTTCCTTCAAGATAGGAACTTTTTAAGAAACTCAGCCTATTGGGTTTAGAAACATTAAGATCAACCTGCATACTGTTGGTGGGAATGCAAACTGGTGCAGTTACTATGGAAAACACTATGGAGGTTCCTCAAAATATTAAAAATAGAAATACTATATGACCCAGGAATTCCACTACTGGGTATGTATGCAAAGAAAACAAAAACACTAATTCAAAAAGATATACACACCCCTATGTTTATTGCAGCATTATTTACAATACCCAAGATATGGAAGCAACCCAAGTATTCATCAGTACATGAATGGATGGAGAAGATATAGTATACACACACACACACTAGAATAGTATGCAGCCATAAAAAGAATGAAATCTTGTCATCTGTGACAACATGGATGGATTTAGAGAGTACTATGCTAAGTGAATAAGTCAGAGAAAAAGACAAATACCATATGAGTTCACTCATATGTGGAATCTAAAAAACAAAACAATTGAATAAACAAACAAAAAACAGAAACAGACCCATAAATATAGAGAACAAACTGATAGTTGCCAGATGCGTGGGGGCTAGGGGCAATGGGCAAAATGAGTGAAGAGGAGTAGGAGGTCCAGGCTTCCAGTTATGGAATGAATAAGTCATGAGGATAAAAGGTACAGCACAGGGAATACAGTCAATGGTATTATAATAGCTTTGTAGGGTGACAGATGGTAGCCACACTTGTGAACAAGGCATAATGTATAGACTTGTCAAATCACTATGTTGTACACCTGAAACTAATGTAACATCGTGTATCAACTGTACTTCAATAATATTTTTTAAAGAACTCCTTTTAAAAGAAAGACACCTGCTTAGTTAAGTTATACCTAGAACATCAACTGCTCATCTTCCACCTCCTTCCCAGATAACTTTTTATCCAATTCTCTCCCCCGCCTCTCTCCTTTCTCTCTCCTCCTCGTCTCCTCTCTCTGCTACATACACACATACACAGTGTGTTTAAATTCAATTATTAATCTAAAATAAGGCAGTCCAGAAGGAACAATGTCCAGAGAACAATAAGGGGTAGAGGGAATAAAAACACATGGTGGGCGCCTGGGTGGCTCAGTCGTTTAGCATCTGCCTTCGGCTCAGGTCATGATCCCAGGGTCCTGGGATCTAGCCCCACATCGGGCTCCTTGCTCAGCAGGGAAGCCTGCTTCTCCCTCTCCCACTCCCCCTGCTTGTGTTCCCTCTCTCGCTGTCTCTCTCTCTCTGTCAAAAAATAAATAAAAATCTTAATTAATAAATAAATAAATAAATAAAAACACATGGTAAGTCAAAGAGCCATGTCATTTATTGGCTACATTACCAAAACCATTCTTGTTCCAGATAAACCAATTGTGTCAGGTCTAGACAGGTAAAATCCAATGCACAAAGGAACGTTTCTAGATGTCTCAGAGGTTTTATATATCACCGTCCATCTCTACAGATACCAGGTGGGTAAAGCACCTCACTGATTATAAGTTTCCTCAATGCACCTTCCAAATCCACAGGTAGAAGGATTAAACATCATGCAGAGCCAGGTTGCCCTTAAACCTTCACCCTGAACTTTAGTTTCAGTTTGTAGCAACTCACATAACTGGTCAGCACTTCGATCTCTGCTAGTCCCGTATATGGAGTGCAAGAGTGTTTGAATAAATTTTGGTTCAAAACTCTTGAGAAAATTCTTTATAGTTGGTCTGATCTTCCACACCATGTCAAAAAAAAAAAATCGGTTTCATTAGGATCTTTAAGAACAAAGCTAACCTGGGGTAGATCTAGGTCAAAGTGAATTCCATGGCCCAACCTATAATAAACTATGCTTTAGAAAGCCACTGGATCTTGATCCATTCTGGGGAGGGAGGAGGGAATTAGGGGTTTACCTCATTTTGGAAACTTGCCAATCGTGTTATCAGATGATACATACATCTAGAAAAGCACAGCAGTTACCAAAGTTGTGCTTTATCACAAAAGTGAATATCTACCCTAGAGTAAAACCAAATATGAAATTTATCTTTTTTTAAGTTTTTTATTTATTTTTTTAAGCTCTTATTTATTTATTTGAGAGAGAGAGAATGAGAGATAGAGAGCACAAGAGGGAAGAGGGTCAGAGGGAGAAGCAGACTCCCCACTGAGCAGGGAGCCCGATGTGGGACTCAATCCTGGGACTCCAGGATCATGACCTGAGCCGAAGGCAGTCGCTTAACCAACTGAGCCACCCAGGCGCCCCTGAAATTTATCTTTAATCAAAAGATTAATAAATCTATAATTACGTTCAGTACAACTTTGTTATCTTTTACAATTATGTAAATCACTTGATAAATATTAAGTCCGGGGTGCCTGGGTGGCTCAGTCAGTTAGGTGTCTGCCTTCAGCTCAGTTCATGATCCCAGGATCAAGCCCCACGGCTCAGCGGGGAGTCTGCTTCTCCCTCTGCCTCTGCCCTCGCTCATGCTCTCTTCTCACTCTCTATCTCAAATAAATAAATAAAACCTTTAAATAAATATTAAGTCCATGAGGAAGAGCTCAAAAGTAATCTTTGACAAGCTAAGAAAACAAGCTGAAGAAAAGCTCCCATCTGTGGTATCAAACCTATGCTGATTATAAATGGTAATTTAGACAACCTGAGTTATGAAATCACAAATGTCTATAAATACTATAGTCTTACTTCATTATACTTTAGCAAAATATTACTCAATGAGTACCACAGAAAAGACAGTATTACAATAAATATTTTCCAAAACCCAAGCAAAATTTTACTCTCAAATGGAATACAATTTAAATAGCAAATACCAGAATCAAGAAAAGGGACAAACATGTATTATATAGAAAGCCTCATAGCCCACCTTTCTTCTTGACTGGCATTCTTGGGTCTTTCCACTGCCACAAGATGCAAGATCTCTTTTCAGGTTTCGACTTGATCCAGCTGGACTCAGGCCAAGAGCCAGGTAACTGTTGCAAACCACTTCACTGTTCAATTTTGAAATCCAGGCTGTCTTCTCTTCCAGATAGAGAAAAAATGATGTATTTTTTTCCACAATTAAACTTTTGACACTGCCCAGAGTTCGGAAAAAAATAACCTTGAGTTTTTCAATTTTTATAAAATATTTATTCTGTTAAAAAAACTGAGAAAATTATTGTAAGCATAGAAAATGTTATTAAAACTCCTCTTCAGACATCAACATTTTTGGAATTCAATGACTAAATCAATTAAGGCACAAACCAAATTTACACAGCTGTCTCATTACTCAGTACATGATCAAATTCAAAGATGAACTGGTTGATGATAAAGATCCTCAATTCTTCAGAGAAAAATTTAATCCCCTCCCCAACAAAAAATACTTTTAAAAACCTTTTTGACTCTGGTCTCTAAAAAGATGGGTGAGTTTGAACAGTTTTCTGGGGCAGAACACAGACTGACTGAAAGGCCCCTTTTTATTTACTGGACCAGAAGTTCCAGATCTCACCCCCTCAGTCAGACAGGATCCAGCTTGCTGTCACTTTCATTTTTTTCTTCTGTACTCTCCAAGCCCCTCGGCTTAATCCTTAGTGCCCCTCTGATTCTGATCCTCCCATGTATTAACCGAGAGGATTGAAAAGAAGGAAAGCAATCCCTTGGCATGGAGACATTAAAGTGACAGTGCTACTCAATGGGCACTTGATGCAGGATGAGTTGGCGAAGCAGATTTCTTCACACTGGAGTCATTCACATCATGCCATCTCTTCGCATCCAAACAGCTCCCTATCCGGCGAGGAAAAACACTGAGACTGTTCGAGAGAAGTCAAACCTTCCCCCAAAGGTGTTTTCTGAGACGATGTAGTAGTATTAGGCATGTGAGCACAAGCTGTGCAAACGGTCCGCGATTTCCTAAATTAGAGTTCTGCTGCTTGGCTTCCACATCCACCCTTTGAATCTCTCTCCAAACTACCCACCTTCCTTTTGCAGAAAAGACAAGAAATCTCTCTGCTACCGCTGGCCACCCCTGCCCACACCCCGTTCCTATATAGAAGTGCACAGAAATGTCCTGCACCCTCCACGCGATGAAGTGTTTCCTCAGGCAGGAGAAACAGCAGCACTAGAAATTATATAACTCTCGAATTTGGCTTCTCTAAGACATGGAGACTGGAGGGTCGGGGGTTGCTGGTCTGGGCGATACTGCTGGGCACTGAACGTGCACAAAAGGGCGCCAGGCCTCCTCGCAGCGCCCCCCACCCCGAAATACCGGCTGGCAAAGGGGTCTTCTTGGGAAGTGGGAGAATTTTTCTCTCTGGTCCCTTTCCAAGCGGGGTGAAAGGATGGAATATGAGGGGACTAAAGACTGGGAGAGGAGTCAGACCGCTGAGAAGGGGAGAAGGCTAGTCGGGGCTGCTCTGGCGGCCGGTTGGGGGCTCTGGGGAGGAGGTGCCGGGGAAGCCGAAGCCTTAACACACGAACCAGGCCAGAGGGTAGAACTCCCTCAAGGAGTGAAAGGGGCGGGCAGGTCGGCCCCAGCTAACGGACGTGCCCAGAAGAGAGAAAAGCGCGCAGCAACATCCCTGCGCTCGCACCGCCCCACGTACCCTCTCAGCAGGAGAAAAGAGGGAGCTAGGGTAACAAATAACAGGGTAAGGGAATATAGGGCTGACAAGAAGGCGGGCCCACGGGCGTCTGGACCTCCTCGAAGCCAATGAGCGGCCCTCATTTCTGGACGCCACGCCCAATCACAGCCAGGATGGAGGGCGCGGCTTTTGACTGGATCGGGGAGGGCCGGGGCTGCAGGCTAGAGGCATCAGCCGGCACCACTTCCCGCTTCTGGCGTCCTGGGTCCCCGCCCACCGCTAGTCATGTGAGCCGCCAAAATGGCGGCGCTCGGGCGTGAGGCTGGGGCTGACTTGAAGAATGCAGGTGTGGTGCCGGTGAGAGCTGGGGAAGTGCCCAAGGTAGGCGGAAATCCGGGGCTGTATGAGTCGTGATTTCTTCATCCTCAGTATATTAACGGACATTTCTGAAATGATGGAATTTCAAAATCTAAAGAGAACAGCCTCCAAGTCCATGCAGGGCGCAATGAAGCGCCCAGTTGTTATGGAAAGAGGTGGAGAGAAAGTAGGAGACCTAAAGTCTAGTCCCGATTGCTCGCAGTTTTTTCTCTTGTCTCTAGGCCTTTGCGCTAGTTTTCAACTTGAAATACTTCCGTGTAACTTGCTCCCCTCCCCACCCCTACCAAATTGTTCCCTTGCAGATACTCGTGTAAACGTCATTTACTTCTGGAAACCTTCCCACAGTTCCCTGGCTAGGTTAAGTTTGGCTTTTCTTATGCTTTTTGTTTGGTTTGGTTTCATTTTTATGGCACACTAATTCAGCCTTTAAATTACCTGCCTTTTTGTCCTGACCTCGGTTGGGTTGTCGATTCCAGAGGACACAACTGCATCTTAATTATCCTGGAGTCTGTCAAATACCAGGTGCTGTGTAAATGATGAGTATTAAATAAGATTCTGAAAAGTCAGGTAAAATAATACACATAAAAGCGGTACAAAACTGTAAAATGCTTTGCACACTATAAACCTGAACACATACACTCTTACTGGGATAATCGTGGTGACCAGTTGAGTGGCCTTGGACTAGTCAATTTTTAGATAAAATGCTGGTTATAGTTGATGGAGGGAGGTGGGTGGGAGATGGGCTAAATAGGTAATGAGTATGAAGGAGGGCACTTCTTAGCACAGGGTGTTATATGTAAGTGATGAATCACTAAATTCTACTGAAACCAATATGAGACTATATGTTAACTAACTAGAATTTAAATAAAAATTTGAAAAAATTAAAAAAGTTGGTTATCACAAAGTCTTTACATTTCAGTACTTGTTAAAAGTCTACCAAAAAATTAGTAGTCTATTTCTCTGCTTTAATAACAGTGCCTTCCAAAGACTAGGCGCTAAATAAATATTTGCACTCAGTAAGTATTTGTCCTGTTTCAGTGTTTTAGAATCATAATACTGGGTGTCTGGGTTCCCTGTATACTGACAGTGCAGACAAGGTAGAAGGTTGGTACAAGGCATTGCCTGAGACTCCTCTTTGTGGGAAGTAAGGGACTTAAATGAATTGGATGATGGCAAAATAAACATTTATTTTAAATAAACATATGATAAATTACCATGTTACTGGTCTCTGCCTTCATAGTACATTAGATAGATTAGATATAGAATCGCCCTTAGATATTACTATATCTTCCATTTTCCATTTAGATGTCCAAAAGAGCCAGAAGATTAAATCTAGTCCGTAAGAAATTGTTATTTATAATTTTTCCCTGTCCTCTCAGATATTTTAAAGAAAAAAAATAGTACTGGCTTGAATCCAGTTCTACAATGATGCAGAGCTAGAAACTTGTCCATTATTACTCATGGTATAATAATATATGAAAGTTCAAAGGAGCCCATACCTTCAGAATGTTGATGCCATGGATGAATTACCCTTTCATTAGTTAGGGTTAAGATTGGTACATATCACTTATTCAGCAAACGAGTATTACAGTGATGTTCAACAATTACAGCATGTGTCCACTGATTACCAGTGTCAGAATCATTTGGTCTATTAAAGTGCAGATTTCTAGACTTCACCCTACTCCTGTTGAATCCAGATATCAGGAGGGAGCTCAAGAGACTGCATTTCAAATAAACCCTGCATGTGATTCTTATGCAAACTAAAGGTTGAGAATCACTGATTTATTATCTTCTGAGTTCATTATGCTTAATCCACTCTAATTTTCTTGCCCAGGACTCCTGAAATTTGAGATCTAGTCTATGCCCTTACTATAAATGTTAAAATGGAGGTCAATATAAATTGTGAAGGACCATAATTTTTTTAATCTCTTCATCGGCTAATCTGGAATCCCATAATGCCCGTGTGGCAAAAGATTTAACAAATATTATTGTTAAGACTTTTCACAGAGACCCAAGAGTCTTACCCAAAGCAAAACATTCAGAAAGGATCCTTTCTTAGGATCTAATTTTGTTTTTTGTTTATCACTGTTTTTTTGCTTTCTGTTAAGATGCTCATGGTCCCTTGACATTGGCAACTGTCTGTTCATACATCACACTCGGGACACAGGAACCTTCCCACCTGGAGCCCAGTGCCATGGGTCCAGGCTCCCTGGTATACTACATATAGTTTCCAGCAAAGGCTGTGCTTCTGCCCCAGGTGCTCCTAGGGAGCTGGATATATAATTTATATAATCCAAAGTATCCATCCATGAGCATTACCTCTTCCTAGCCTGGAACAATGTCCCTCTCTCACTATTCTCCAAGGCAGTCCCTGCTCTCCTCCTTCTCCGGGAAACTCAACATAATCTCCAAAATGAGTTCACACTTTCATGAGACATGTCAACAGGTAGGGGTTGTTTCCCTCTAGCTCTGAAAAAGCTAGAGCAAGCACTACAAAGGACCTGGCTACCTTTGGGGAAAACTGTAAGAAAAACAAAAACTCAGTATCTCAGTAAGTTATCCTTCGACACTAGGTCCTAAGGCAAGTCAACCTTTCTGAACCTCATTTTTCTCATCTATAAAGGTATAAAAATAGAGATGATCATTATTCTACCAATTTCTCAAAAAGCCACTGTCTAGCAGATAATAAGAGCTACTAAATATTGACTGAATCATTGACAAAGTATGTGAAAGCAGATCACATTTTACTAGGATCTAAATGGTTTTTAATCTGAATCTAAAATTTATAAGATGTATCATTATCATTTATTTGTCATTTATCATTATCATTTATCATTAGCTATTATGGTTATGAAATTTTGTGTTTTCCAGGACATCAGAATGGCAACATACACACATGGTCAGCCCAGTCTTTCTCTAGGAGATACAGAATTCAGAAGACCAATGGTCATCGAAATCATAGAAAAAAAATTTGAATATCTTAGAAAAGAAAAGTAAGAGACACACCCAGACTGAAAGTCAATAACTTTATTTGCACATCTTCTGTATTGCCATTTTTTCTGAGTATCTAAGATCCTATTAACTTTATTGAGTTGGTTATAAGGAAAGTGTATAAAAAAACTGGAGGGAAACATAGATGAAAATAGTAGTTTGTTGGAATATTGGGACTGGATAATTTCTTTTGCTTCTTAAAAAAGAAAATGCCCAAAATTATTGTTGAAATGTTATTTGTCCAATAAACATTTTTAAATTAAAAGCAATTAGGAGAACACTATTTCGGGAGCTACTTATATTTAATTGATGTTCAATTGTAATTAAATTCAGTTTAGAATTGATTAACTCAGCGCAGTGCTGAATTCAAAAAGGAATTCAGATTCTATGATGTACGTATAGTCTTGTATTACCATTTCAACTTAGATTAACAGAGCCCAAGAATAAAATAAAAGGACGTTAATCTTAGACCTTAGATATTTCTGAATTTAGGTATGAGTCAGAATCAGTAAAACTAGATCTGTCAAATCTCTTTGCATATCCTAGACAAATTATTTGAAATATATCTGCACTAATTAAGAAATAGTTATTTGCTAGAGGGCCTAACCAAATGTAAATAACTTTGTTCATATGACTTAAGCAAATTAATCCTTTTAGTAGCAAAAGCAGTATTCTTAGATATCTCATAAATTTGGCTATACTGGAACATATTCATTTTTATTTGTGGCCAAAATTTTCTCTCTTACAAGAGTTTAGAACCACTGTAGGTGGTTTCAGAAAGAGGCTTCTATCCTCTCATTAGAATGCAAGTTCCATGAGAGGTGGGATTTTTTTTTCTTTATTCACCGCCCCATCCTCAACACATAGAAATATTTGATGTTGAATAAATATGTAATAATAAATGAATACCCAGGAAAGGATATACCCATTAAGAGAATATTACGTTGAATGTAATTTTTCTCTTTGTTTTTCCTATCAGGACGTTAAATATATATGGCACAGTGTTCTTTGGAACAGCAGCTAGTTTCTCTGGAATAATGGCCAACTTCATTTTCAGACACTGCTTCAAGGTTAAACATGATGCTTTGAAGACATATGCATCACTGACTACACTTCCATTTCTGTCTACTGTAGTCACTTATAAGCTCCTTGTAACGGACGCTTTGTATTTGGGTAAATTTAAATTCATTAATGTATAATGTGTTCATGTTTAAGTAAAATTACACCTTAACATACCCTGTTACTACTGTTGATAATGATCACTAACACTTGTATATTGCTTTGCCACTTAAAAAGTACCTTCACATATATTGTCCTATTTCATCCCCACAACAGTCCTCCTGATTAGGCAGGGCTAGTAGTATTGTGTCCTCCTTACAGATACACAGCCAAAGCTAAGACATGTTCAAGTATGCTAAGAAACAACATAATATACTGGGGAAGAAGCAGGCTTTGGCATACTACACACGATTTCAGATTCTGCCTCCCACCACTTAAGTTTTGTGACAATGGGCAAGTCATTTAATATCTGAGACTCAGTTGTCTAATCTGTAAATTAGGACTACTGGTACTGTTTTGATGATTAAAATACTATATGTTAAATGCCTAATGAGATATCTGGCTTATTGTGGGCTTCTAATGTTACTTCCTGCCTCCTCCCCTTATCTTAAGTTTCATAACTAGTAATTGATGGAACCTCTAAGTCCTATTTATCAGGTCTTAAATATCTCTTTCCCAGGGAAGCCTTCTCTGATTCCCTCAGGGTAGGTTAGGTTTCTAGATGCATTCTCTATTCACTTTACCTTCAAAGCATTGTGCACACTTAAAAAATTATTTTTTTTTAAAGATTTTATTTATTTATTTGACAGAGAGAGACACACAGAGAGAGAGGGAACACAAGCAGGGGAAGTGGGAGAGGGAGAAGCAGGCCTCCGGCAGAGCAGGGAGCCCGATGCAGGGCTCGATCCCAGGACCCTGGGATCATGACCCAAGCCAAAGGCAGACGCTTAACGACTGAGCCACACAGGTGCCCCAAAAAATTATTTATTTAAATATTTGTATTATTCTTTCTTTCCTGGTGGACTCACCTAAAGGTTAGAGATTGGGTCTCTTCTATGCAACATTATATCACTAATACATGCCTGACACATAGACAATAAAAATGTGTTAACCTAGAATCCAGATGTCTGGGTCTGATACTTTAATATTTTTCATTATGAAATTGCTTTCTGCAACAATTTATAAGATATATATATATATATATGAGATAACTTTCCTTATGTTAAGTATAATAAAAGTATTTTTCAAACATGGTGCATTTAGTTTATCATGTGCCTTAGACTAAATTTCTAACATTCTTTCTATTGTTTCACTATGATTGAGGACAGTACAGGTAACTACTCTGTGAGGACACAAGACTGTCTTAATAGTTCTTATCCTGAGTTTTAAAAGGCAACTAAATTTACTTTTGTTTTCCAGGCAATATAAGCCAGGAAAATTGTGTTCTGAGAAGTTCACTGATTGGCATAGTATGTGGCGTTTTATATCCCTGTGGTTTGGCTTTTTCTAAAAATGGACGCCTGGCAGTCAAGTAAGTCCGTCTGTTCCTTTTCTTCCTTCCTTCTTCCATTTTTTTTTTTTTGTTTTTTTAAATGTTCATAAACTTTTCTTATTCTTTAGCTGCCAATGACACATTTTAATTAGAATGTAGTTTGGTACTTCAAATAGCTAGCTTTAAACCTTTTTGCTATCTACATGAAAGACCGTAGAATAGAAATTATCCATTTGGGGGAAATCAATGAACTTTTCATAGAAAATACATCCAGAAGAAGTTCATAATTATTTTTCCTTTTTAGGTATCATACTGTTCCACTGCCACCAAAAGGAAGGGTTTTACTTTACTGGCTGCTGCTTTGTCAAACAGAGATAAAAGCTATGATGATTCCTCTAGTCCTTCAGACAGTATTTGGAATATTTAATGGTCTACAGCATTATGCAAGATTTGGAAGTACACTTGAGAAAACTGTACATGAAGATTAATCAAAGAGTGAATGGATACTAAATCAGCAGAATGGGTTTTTTTTTATGATGAGGACTCAGGCATTGCTGAAGCAGTTAAAAGTAACTCTGGACAGTTTGTTTCTGTTCCTTTTGCCTGGTATACAGCAGGTACTCAATAAATATTCAGCAATTCAGTATTTAAATGTAAGTTTCATCTTCATTGGTGTGGAAGTGGGTTTGAGACGTCAAGATTTGCTCTATACATTTATATATTCATTCATGAAACATTTATTAAGCACCTACGTCTCAGGTACCATGTAACATGTAATAAGGAATAGTCCTTAACCCAAAAGGAACTCACAATTAGAAGAGAAATTTAAAATGTGAACACATAGCAAGAGAAGGTTTGAGAAGTACACAAATAATTCTGTGAGCACATTGAGGATATGGCTATTAACTACTTGGGCAGAAGGGAAAACTAAGGGGAAAAAGTGACATTTGACCTATATTTGGAAGGCGCAGTTGAAAGTTTGTAAGAAAGCAACACATAGAAGTGAACATACAGCCCATTCCTCTACCCTACACTCTTATTCTGTATACTTTTCTGGCCTCTTACCATTTACAAATGTGCTGTTAAAGGAACTTTTATTGGGTGCCTATTATGCTGTGCATTAATACAGATACCAGGCATCCAAAGATTCAGTCCCTGCCCTCAAAAAGCTCAGAATTTAAGGAAAGAGATTACAGCATACTTCTTTAAGTCTTAGCATTTCTTTATCATCTCAGTTCAGGAAATGAGCACTGTCTGATGAATAAGGCACAGAGTGGAACCCCACAGTTCATTCTCCTTGTCTTAACCATGTATATCTTGAGATAAGATTTGGTCATCTGAGGCCCCACGCAACCCAAAGCAAAATGGAAGTCTTACCAAGGTGCTTTATGACATCATAGATAACAAACTGGGATATACCCTAGTGCTAATGAAAAAAATTAAAACTAGTTAGTTCTCAGAATAATTCATTATAGAATAATTCATTATACTTGAAACAGGAAAGGGCAGGTGACTAGGGGGGAACTAAGTCAAACTGATAAATGGATCAATGGTATTCATATTTTAACTCTTTAAAAAAACTATTATATAAAGATGATACATGAATACCATCTCAATGTAACATATTCAAATGACCCAGAAATATACAGAGCAAGATTTGAAAGTCCCCCTTCACTCCCACATCCTATTCTCCATTCTCCAGAGGGACCCACTATCAAGTTAGCATGCCTCTTTCCTTGCAGTATTCTTTTGTAACAACATATTTTTTAAAATAATATTATCCACACATACTGGAAAGTTAATTTTCACTTCACTATGTGTCTTGGAGGTATTTTCAACTCATTACATATAGGTCTAACATTTTTTTTTTAGTGACTGAGTAACATTCTTGGTGATTCCAGTATTCACATAGGTGATCTTTCTAACACCCTGGTCTCTCTACCCAACTGCTCACTCCCGTGGTCATACTCTAGAACTGTGCCATCCAATTTAATAGTCACTAGGCCACTTGTGGCTACTGGGCGTTTGAAATGTGACTAGTTTAAGATGTAAGTGTAAAGTTCTGAAGAATTATGTAAAAAATTTATCTCATTAAAATATCTCATACATGATTCACATATTTTTATTGGACTATGTTCCTTATAGCCTTAGTCATTAAGTTCAAATTCTCTACATTCTCAATTTTAAAATCCCATTTTCTGATCACTACTTCCTGTCCTTCCTGTTCATTCACTCTCCACAACTCAGGGAAACAAATTAGGGAAACCTTGATCTGGGCTCAAACCCAAAGATGACACTAGATGAAAGGCAGCAAAGTACCAGAGACAAGATAGGTCAGAGGTTTTAAGTACGGCCTGGGCTTATCTCTCAGGTTCAAATTTTGGCTTTACTGCTACCAACAGGATGACTTTTTTAACAGCTATTTCACCTCTCTGCACCTCGGTTTCCTCATCTATAAAATAAAGATTTTACTGACTTCATAGTGTCATTGGGATGAAATGAGTTAATATATGTAAATTGAAACAGTGGCCAACTCACAAGAAGTCTATATGTGTTGCTGCTACCGTTATTGTTTCTGGGACTCCATACCAATGATCACAGTCCCTTCCCTGGCTGCAGCTAATGATTTTAGCATTTTTCTAGGAAAGATTAGAAAGAAGAAGCACAGTGAAGAAAATTCGCAAGGTATCTCTCATATGAATAAATATGTAGTCATTTATTCAGTTAATATTGATTCAAGACCTAGTGTATAAAAGACATTGTATACCACACATTGGGTAAGTTACCTAACCTTTCTGACTCTGTTTCCTCAAAATATACTAATAACCACTTTGCAGTGAGATTACAAAGATTAAAGTACATGGAACAATACCATACCATACCTGGCATATAGGTGATGCTCAATAAATGTGTTTACATTGTCTGTTTTCCCTGCTTGGTATATAACAATGACTAAGATATGGTCCCTACTGTGAGAAGTTACCTTCTCTCTTGCCTTTTCTCCTCCATTTTCCCCAACTGCATTAACTGTGTGATTTCTCCTCCTCTCCCTGCTTTAGTATTGGATTGTATCACATTGCATTGCTTGCAGTGTATTGTATTGATTTTCTCTCTGCTTTTATCAGTTGCCACCCAAGATATAGACACCTGGATTGCCTTGCTCAGAGAGCCAATGGGACTTGCATTCAAGGAGTCCATAGGATTGCAGTAAACAAAGAAGTTCTTAATGAGCTCGGGAGCACCTCCTGTGGCTACATACCCCAGCCCAGTGCAGAGGCAAAAACTCAAAACTACCACTTTCTCCCTGGAAGTAGTCTACATATTTTCCTAGCTCCTGCCTATGGGGTCCAGCCTCCAACCAGCCTGCATTTAGGTGCTGGCTGAGATCTTTCGAGACACTGATGGACTTTGGCACACCTTCAACTGCTGGGAACCACTAAGAACAAAGAGGGTGACTTGGACAATCACAGATTTTAGAGACAACCGGGAAAACAGGCCAGGCTAATTGATGATATGACCATGGAAAGCCACATGCAAAAGAATAAAACTGGACCCCTATCTCACACCACATAAAAAAATCAATCCAAATGGATTAAAGACTTAAATTTAAGACCTAAAGTCCTAAAACAGAAGAAAACACAGGGGGTAAACTTAGTGACATCAGTCTTGACCATTTTTTTTTTCTTTTATTTGACACCTTAAGCAAGGGCAACAAAAGCAAAAATTAACATATGGGACCATATAAAACTAAAAAGTTTCTGCACAACAAAGTAAACTATCAACAAAATGAAAAGGCAACCTACTGAATAGGAGAACCATGTATCTGATAAGAAGCTAACATCCAAAGTATATAAGGAACTCATACAACTCAATGCCCCTCCCATGAAGGCAGAGATTTAACAAAATACAGTCCAAATACCTTTATAAGAAATCCAGAAACTGTTACTCCAACACAATGTGGCACAATTAGGAGAAAACCCCCAACTCCCTTCTCCCTGGTGAGAGAAAGGAATGAAACCTATGTCCATCATTCTGACTTTTAGGGGGCTGCCCAAGGAACCATTTTCTCTTACCTGAATCCAAATACTGACAGGAATGGTGTGCCAGGATAGGGATGTCTGAAAACAAAGGCCATAAACATGGACTAAAGTTTTCATTACCACAGAAACACTAGGTAAAACTCCAATATTGCAGACTACCACAGCACCAAAGAGGACACAGTATCACAGAGCAACACCAGCAAGAGCTCTTGAGAAGAAATTGGCAAAGTTCTTCAAGCACAGAGAAGATGCATCCCCAGAAAAGGCTGAAGCAATCTCCAGAATCTCTAGCTGGCCTGAGTAGAGAAAGTTCTCCCTACAAAAAAGCAAATCAAAAAACCTGGGAGCATGGAGTGATTCTTCAAATGCTAAAATCCCAACAAAAAATAACAACCCATAGTAAGAAACAAGAAAAATGGCACATTTAAAAGAAAAAAAATTTTTTTAAAGATTTTATTTATTTGACAGAGAGAGACACAGCAAGAGAGGGAACACAAGCAGGGGGAGTGGGAGAGGGAGAAGCAGGCCTCCGGCAGAGCAGGGAGCCCAATGCAGGGCTCGATCCCAGGACCCCGGGATCATGACCTGAGCCAAAGGCGGACGCTTAACAACTGAGCCACTCAACCCTAAAGAAACAGAGATATACCAGAAAAAGAGTTAAAAATTGTCATAAGGATACTCAATGAATTAAAAGAGAGCACCGATAGATGAAATGAAATCAAGAAAATAATACATGAATAAAATGAGAATATCAACAGAGATAGAAACTATGAAGAAGAACCAAACAGAAATTTTGGAATTTAGGAATACAATATCTTGATTGAAAAATTCACTAAAGATACTCAATATCAATCCGAAGAAATCAATGAACTCAAAGATAAGACTTTTGAAATTATTGTGGCAGAGGAGCAAAAAGAAAAAAGAATGAAGAAAAATGAAGTGAGCCTAAGGCACTTTTGGAATATCATCAAATGGAACCATATATGCATTATGTGAGTCCCAGAATGAAAAGAAACTATTTGAAAAAATAATTGCCAAAATCTTCCCAAATCTGCTGAGAAAAGAATGGACATACAAATTCAAGAAACTAAAGGAACTCCAATCAGGAAAAATCCGAAGGGATTTACAATGAGAGAAATTGTTGAAGGAAGTAATCAAGAAGATGTGATCACTGTTTGAACTGCAAGCTGGACCTGGGCAATTAGAGGCTCTTTACCCCCTTCCCTGTCCCTAGAATATACATTCTGTCCACCATTCTCATAGTGGGAGCTTTCTTCAATGACACAGCCTTGAGAGAGCAGTGTGTTACTGAGACCATCTGGACAGTATATATGATTGACCCAATTAAGTTTCTGGTGGTTGAGGGCAGAGATCTACTTGTCTTGTGGCCACCCAAGACAAACCTTGTATGTAAGTTCCTTATTAAAAGTGCAAACAATGCACTTTTTAAATTATTACTCAAATATATATTAATCCAAATATT